CAGGATAAATTTTTAGCGACTATCACAATTAGGGGTATGCACGGTGCGATTCGGGCGGTTTGAGAGTAAATTTACAAACCGAATGGCGGATTGGGCAGTTTTTGGCGGATTGGGCAGTTTTTGGCGGATTGGTGGATTGAAGAATATTCTAACTAATTATCATACATTTGCATAATATATAATACTAATTTGTATAATATTTTTTAGATATATAACATAAAGTAATTTTACATAATATGTTTCATATATATAACCACTAATTTGTAATAAAATTCATATCTTAAATCTCTCTCACACTCATTTTTACATTGATATTTCATTGGAGGTTAAAAAATATATATGTATTAATTATAGCGGAGCGGAGCGGTTCGGTTAGCGGATTATAAATTTTAAAGTTTAAACCGCGGTTAGCAGTTAGAGCGGTGCGGATAGATGCGGATCGGCGCGGTTTTAGTGGATTGGGCAGTATTTTGCACAATGAAAATTGGTACCTAAATATCATTTATAATAAAATTTTCATTTTTAAAGAATAAAATATTTGAGATTTGAAATAAATATAATTTTTAAAACTACATGAGATTGATTCATATGTTAATTAAACTTCAAAATATGTATTTATAATTTATCCATTTAAAATTAAATTCATTCACTCCTTAAGACTTGGATTAAACCACGGTGCTTCATTCACATGTTGGAAGTTCCAGTGCAGCGCCGCCTCATCTTTTGTGCTTCGTTGTGTTTACAAGTTTTGTTAGATAAAAAATTTAAAACAAAAATGCTACGGTTCCTAAGCAGTTTGTTTGATTCTATTTTTCAGAAAATAATTTTTAACAAATTTTACTTTTTTATTTTTTATATTTTAATGCTTTCAATGATTTTTTTAATATTTTAAATAATTTTTTTTAAAATATTTTTAGACACACATAATTTTTAACAAATTTTACTTTTTTATTTTTTATATTTTAATGCTTTCAATGATTTTTTTAATATTTTAAATAATTTTTTTAAAATTTTTTTTAGACACACCTAACATAAATACACTTAAAAAGTATAAAATTTGTGAAAAAAAATCTTTAAAAAATACACTAAATACCAAAAAATATAAAAAAATAAAAATTTAGTACATTTTTCATATTTTTGTATATTTATTAACTTTTAATTTTTTTCACAAATATTTTACTATTTAGATACATCTAAGTAAGATATTTCTAAAAAATTTAAAAAATTGCTTAAAATTTAAAAAATATTAAAAACAAAAAAAAAAAGAAAAACAAAAAATTTAATTTTTTGAAAATTGAAACCAAACACACTGTACTAAAATTTCTACCAAATGTCTCACATGAGTGTGGGACCTACATGGGACACACATGGTGTGGGTCCTACACCTATGTTAGACATTTGGTAAAAATTTTAATAGAACTTTTGGAATCTCTAACATTACTCAATTTTAAATATATATAAAATTTATAAACAAATTTGATAAGAATAATGTGGAAATATCATTATTGTAAATAAATTTATGTATAATGATGTTTTATTTTCAAATGAAAGGTCAACAATAAATCACATTATTATGTATGAAAATTATAGGGAGATTTTTTTTAAGGTCCCTAATATTAAAATTTTGTAAGACGAATGACATTCAATATTTTCATAGTAGCTAACGTCCCTCAACATTTTCACAGAGAAAAATTCACTCAAAAAATTTTTGCCAGACTTAGAAAATTCCCCCCCGACTTAGAGAAATTTCAATTTTCACAAATTTTTTTGTGGTCATACCAAAATTTCTCTGTGTTGAACGAAATTTCTCTAAGTTGGACAAAGTTTCTTTGAGTCGAATTTTCTCTATGAAAATGTTGAGGGACCTTAGCTAATAAAAAAAAAATATTGGACCTCTCCTACTACACAAAGTTGAAGAGGGATGTTTCATTAATTTTTTCAAAATTATATACTCCATCCATTCCAAAATATTAGTCCATTATTTCATTTTTTATTATCCCAAAATATTAATTCCCTTTTCAAAAGTCAACGAATAAAATAAAATGAACTTACTATTTTACCCTTCTTTCAAATTCATTAATAACACAAAAAGTATAATTATAACAATTGATATTTCTAAAAAAATCATTAATAACACAAAAAATACAATTATAACAATTGATATTTCTAAAAAAATGTACTATCAAAGGGTACTTTTGAAAAATTAATATTTTTAAAATGTAATAATTGTATTATCAAAAAAATTTTAATTTCTCAAAAGAGACTATTATTTTGAGACGAAGAGAATACGATTGTTTTTTTATTTATTTATATAGCATTACTCTCTTTTTAGATGGAGAGATTTGGTTACTAGTACGACTTATCTTTTTCCTTTATTTATTTATTTATTTTTAATCTTTTACCTTTTCCCATTGGTATATTATTTAATTCTCTGCTAAATTAAGTAGAAAATGAACTTATGGTATTTTAGTAATTTACTCATTACAATTAATTTAACCGTGGTAATCACTTTTATTTAAAAAGATAAAGGGGAGCAGTGTGATTTCAAAAGTATTCAGGGTGGTTTTAATGTAATTTATCTATTAAAAAATTTCGACACAAACAAAAATATCAAAAATAAAAAGGAAATTTATTAGAAAATCATAGATAATAAATAAAAATTTGGTCTCTATTTTCATGTCCTTGTTGCTCATTCTAAACAATGTATTTAAGACATTATATTTTCTATTTTTAATTAAAAAATAGAAAATCTTATTATTTAAATAAGATATACGGCTCGGAGTTGATTTTGACAGTGAGACTAGGTAAATTAACAACACTATTACAAATTTAGATTTGTCAACTCAAAATTTATTTAGAAAAAAATTAACAGTTCAAATTCATTTTATTCATAAACTTCATGCATTATTAATTCAATATTCATCACACAAAAATATTAAGGATAAATTATAAATAGATAAGAAGTTCAAAATATTTTTTTATAAATTAATAACCAAAAACTGAGGTACGGACAGAGAAGTTGTTACGGCGCAAAAAATGATGAGAACAGAAATATACGAATGCTCTACGAAACAAATCAAACCATGTATGTATGTTACATATGAACCAATAAACATTAAACAAATCTATGATTAAATAATGTTTTCAACATAAACATGTGTATAATAAGTATAATCATTCTCATATCATTCCCTCTAGAAATAACAAAAAAAAGAATAATAAATAAATGAATAAAGAATCCTTCATCACTCTCCAACAAACAATCCCAACTCCAGATATCGGCAATGAGTATGCAGATCCAGCGTCCATTGACGGTGACGATGCTGGAGCCATTTTGAGGTCTTGTGCCGATCCAATAGCAGAGAAGATAGCGATGACCAAGAAAACTGTCAAAGCCTTGAATGAGCTCAATTGGGCCATTCTAGATCAGAGAGAGAGAGAGAGAGTGAGAGTGTGTGTTTCTCAAGGGAGATTGAATTCGAAACAGAAGAGATTGTAGTAGTAGGGTTGAGTGAGGAATCCGTGAAATTCATAATTCGATTTAGTCTAGTCCAATCCAGTAGGATTGGATTGGTTTTTTGAATCCGTGGTTCAGTTCCGGATTGAAGAATTAAAAAACCGTAGTTCACGGATTAGTTCCGAATTGAACTCCACGGTTCCAGATTGGAACCGATCCGGACCGTATACAAATAATCTATATTTTTATTATACATCCTCCCCCACAGTATCTTCTCTTACTCTATACAAAACCTAAACCTTGTAATGGTCTAAATACTTATGGCGAAACTAGTTTTCTTATGGTTGTTTAAATTCTAGAACAGTATGTCACTATTATAGAAAGACATGTTGTTATTGTAGAACTAATATAGCGCTATGTTTATGTTTTTATGAAATTAAAGTGTTATATATATATATATATATATATTTTTTGTTATTTAATTATGTGAATCCGTAATCCTAAATCGATCCAATTTTTGTTTAAATGGATTGGTTCGGATTGGTTCCATCCAATTTGTGTTTAAATGGATTGATTCGGATTGGTTCCAATTTTTCAGGAACAGTAGATAACGGATTGGTCTTGATTTTACCCCAATCTGGTCCAATCCGGACCATGCTCACCCCTATGGAATAATAGTGATGCTTGTAATATCATGGAAGATAGTGGGGCAAGAAGGAGATATATATAGGAGAGAGTGTAGGCGTGTGGACCCACAAAGAACGTGGACAATTGGAAAAGTGATGTTTGAAAAGGATTTGGGGATGCTGCTGCGCAGTAGCACCTACTGCGCGCCCAAAACGATGTCATTTTGGGCTCCAAGGTTATTTCAAAAATTTCCAACAATACCAACGGTACTAAGGTTTGATCCCTTAACCACTCCCACAGATGCAACGCTCTAACCACTGCGCCACTTTGTGTTCTCAACATTATAAAGCACACATATATTATTTATTATAGTATTCAAATGTATACCCACCTGCAGTGTCATCAAAAACAAAAAAAAAAAAAAAAAAAAAAAAAACTATATGTATATAAATCTAATTAGGTGAATGTCATAATCTCACTTTATTTTGTGGTTCTTAATTTCATAGTGAGAGAATAGATAATGTCCATTTAATTTATATTTTTTATGAATTAATGGCGCCACTCAATTCGATATATATTTGCACTTATTCATCTAAACAAGAAGCAAAATGACTACTTCAAGAATAAACAATATAATTCATCAAATCAATAATTAAAAAATAATAATTATCAAGTTATGCCAAAAACTACAATATGTCCATCCAAAACAACACTAAAAAAAATTCCAAGGCTCAAACAAAATTCTATAAAACCCATTTGAAATATTCAAAATATGTCTCAAAAAAAAAAAAAAAAACACCATTATCTAAGAATTACGATAAAAAATAAAATAAAAATACTACATTTCAATTCTGTGGGGTAGGTTGTGAATGACTACAAAATTTTTAAAAAGTTTTATTATCTAAGAATGGCTCACCCCCCTCCCCCCTCCTCCGATGGGATTGAGCTCTCCTTCATCAAATGACATCTCCTAAAAAAATAAAAATGAATAAGTGTGAGAGAATATTTTGGTTTATTTTTTTATTAAAAACAAACTACATTACAAACTTAAATTGCATACCTGAGAAGTTTGTGGATTAACTAATAGTTGTGAAGATAAAGGGGTAGACTGTGGATAACTTGATGAGCACGCAATGTTAGTATCGTCAAGCTTGAAAAGATTGTGACCATAATTCATCAATTGTGGCCAATAGCGTATCCTAACATCCTAATTCATAAAATATTGTTAGAAGTAAATATACTATTATAAGAAAATTTAAATATAAAAAATAAAATCTAACCTATGAGCGGCATAAAGGGGAACTTTGAACAATTAACGTGTTGCTTGATTGACCAATTTTCTAAACAAATTATAACATTTATCAATACATCGTATGAGTCTAAAAGAAAGCAAAAATTAGAATCAATTAGGTGAACAATACCTTACTAAGATCGGTAGGTTGTGAAATAATTTTTTTCCTCTTATTAGTCTTCTCATACCAAGGTTTTAATCTACCCCCACCCTTCTGTCCACATTTTTTTTTTAAGCCTTTAACTCGTGCAAAGTTAGGATTAGAAGTCATATCAATGTTGTTTCCATTACCACAATCACCCAAATCATCAAATGATACCATCATTTTATTCACTTTTGTACACAGTTCCTTAATCCCTTCATCAACCAATTGATAAACAGGCTTATAAACAGATGCTTGAGTTGCTAGCTTTACCATCCTAGGACAAAGATCCCTGTAACGTGCTGATACCTCTAAGTTGGGATCATTCTCATCCACTTCAACTTTTCCTCCCTTAATTTCACCACCTTTGGCATCTAATCTCCATCGACCTAATATGTACCTCTCTGGAATTTCCATAACATTCATTCTATCAAGTGCTTTAATTGCATGACCACATAAAATTCCAATGTTTTCAAACTTTTGACAAGTGCAACGAATTTTTTGACAATTTTTTTCTCCTCCTAACTCATTGAATTCCATATTACCCTCCACAATATACGATCTATCATCACCATACAAGCTAATCATGTACCGAACTTCTCATTCTAACTCATGGCATTGCTTCACTCGACAAGAAAGAGACATATCCAACTCGTTATGAAATAAGTCAAAGATAAGAGGGGTGTACAAATTCGCAACTTGGTTCAAAATTGGAGACCTTTTCAATTTCATTCTCGGCAATTGTTGTCTAGAATTATATATAGCTTTTACTTCTTCATACTGCTTATCTACAACAATCCGATTGAAGTGGGTAAAAAATTGAACAATATTATGATCAACTTGCAAATACCTCTTTAATGTTGCGTTCATGCTTTCACTAAGTTGGGTGCTTCGCATTCTTGCACTGAACAAGTATTCCATGTATACGTACGCCCATTGCTCTCTTTTTTCCCAAGTCTTCTTTATCCACGCAGTCTCATACAAGTTGTATTTATCAATCAAAGAATCCCAAGCTTCAATTAACCCGTGTTCATCCTCGCATCCAAAAATACAAGCTTTGAAATCACTACCAAATTTTGAACCACTCTTATACAAGTACCCTAAATGCTTCAAAGCATTTTGCATTAGGTGAAAAATCACTGTCTTATCAGATATTGCCTTAGTAATTGCCTAATCTTGGTCTGTGAAAAAACTGGTAGGCTTTTTCCCTGACATTGCATGCAAGAAGGTTTCAAATAACCACTCAAATGAAGCTGTAGTTTCATCATATAATAATGAGGCACCAAAAATCACTGTCTTTCTAAAGTGGTTAAAGCCAGTAAATAAAGCTAGTGGCCGATACTCCTTATTTGTGTGAAATGTTGTGTCGAATGAAACGACATCACCAAAAAGTTCATAATCTATAATCATCTCATGGTCAGCCCAAAAAATATTAGTAATCATCTCATCCACATCCAATTGAATTGCATAGTAAAAATATGGATTTTCAGCTTCTTCTTGCTGAAAATATCTTAATAAACTCACAGCTTCTTCGTATTGCAAATTTCGTTGTCTTTTTCCACGCAAGTAGCTTTTTTGGTCTTCTCTCGTGAATCCCAAATTTTCTTTTCCCCGTGCCAAGGCACTAATGAGATCATGTGATGCTTTAAGAGAGATACCAGTGTCATCAGCTATATCAACATTCAAAGCCTGAGCCTGACATAACTTTCTTTGAGATGGTATCAAATGTGTGCACTGAGGAAGATGCAAAGGATGGTTGTGATTGTCATCAAACTTTTTCACTATCCACTTTCACAAGTCTCGATCCAAAGATACATTCATAAATGCATTGCACTTTGTTCTTGTCTCATGTTTAGGATGATTTACAATCATGTACCATTTATCTTTTTCTTTTTCTCCCTCCTTACAACAAACAAACTTCTTGTTAATCATAGCACCATCTTTTCTACTTTTGCTATGGTAATCTCTTCTAATGCCAAACCCATAATCCTTCCATATTCATTATAGAATTGATATGCGACTTCCTCTGAATAAAATTCCATGCCAAGACATGGTGTTTTATCTTTGGTCAACTCCTCCATATCTTTGCTACTACCCTCATGTCCACCATACTCCATTCTAACACCAACAAATCTAAAAAATTGAGAACAAATATAAAAGTAAGGTAAGATTTTTTTGAGATTGTCATGACATAAAATTTATATAGATGTCACTGTAAAAAAAAATAAAAAATAAAAAATAAAATATTAGTCTTTGTTTATAATTTTTATAATTTTTTATTCTACTTATCTAATAAGATGCCAAGTTTTACTATTAATTTTTTTAGAATTATCTTCTCTAATTTTGAAGTAGCATAACATATTCTCTAGAACATAATGCATTTTGATTAAAAAAACAATATTTCTAACCTCAAAACAACCTAACATTTAATGGCAGAGAAAAAAATTGACAAAGAGCAATCACCAATTGACCAATTGACAGAATTAAGATTCACCTTTTTTTATTCCACAAAATTCATCATTACGACAATATGTTGTTGACAAATAAAAGGATAAATATAATACGGTATAACAATATGATAGATGTAACATTATTGTTCTTAGTTTTGAAAATATGAAATAAAAGTTAAACAATAAAAAATCTTAAATCTAGTCATTCATTAATTTTAGAATATTTTGTATTAATTTATTTATATATTTTATTGTTCACTTTATTGATGTCAAAAAAAATAAAATAATAAATAAACTGTAGAGACTAAACAAAGCAATGCACAAAGGGGCAACAATAAAGGTAGACACATCTAGCATCTAGTATTAGTAACGAAAGCAATAGTTCTGAAGACAAAGAAAAAAAAATAACTCATAACATTCTACAGGGAAAAAAAACCAACCAATCACAATCACAATGTTGAAGAAAATTATATGTTTTTTGTTGAGGCCTACCAATATTCAAAGAGCAAATATGTTGTATTCATACAAACCTGAATAGTATGGTGCAAGCGATAGAGAGTCTTCGACGAAGGTAGATAGATGGTTAGCCGATGAGAACAAACTTTTTAGGGTTTTGAGAAATTGATAGTTGAGAGTTTGTTTGGGATTATAAAAATAAATTAGAGTAAAATAAATGATAAGATCTTAAATAGTGTAGTTTTGATTTTTAAGATTTTTTTAAAAAACAAAATTCCAAAACGGAACTGCTATAAGATTTCCAAAACGGAACTGTTGCGTACTGTATATTTATAAGGTATAAATAATATATGTTATAAGGTATAAATAATATATGTGTGCTTTATAATATTGAGGACACAAGGTGGCGCGGTGGTATAGAGCGTTGCAGCTGTGGGAGTGGTCAAGGGATCAAACCTCAGTACCGTTGGAATTGTTGGAAATTTTTGAAATAACCTTGGAGCCCAAAGCGACGTCGTTTTGGGAGTGCAGCAAGTGTTGTTGCGCGGCTGCATCCCCAAATCCAACTAATTAATTGTTGGTGCCCAAATTAAATAAAAGAAAATGCTATAGACTCCAAATAAATTATCAAATTTTTTACCAAACCTCTCACACAATCAATAAAATGACACATAACGGCACAAACGAATGTTAAAAGACACATGGAAAGGAATTAAGAAGACATTTCAGCATCCAAATCCATGTTCGAAGAGAAGCTATCAAATGCGGTTAAAGTTTCAAGCCAATTAAATTCAAATTCAACCAAAAGGAGGAATACATAGCAAATGTGTGAAGCACTTTGTTGGCTCCAAGGTTGATGGAAGATCAGAGTTGCTGCTATGCTTCTAAATAGCAGTTTGAATAAAGGAGAAGTTGAATTCTGAAAATAAGGCTTCAAATCCTTTTGAGAGCCTGAAATTCATTTTAGATTATTTTTCTGAGATTAATCTTGCTTTCAGCATATCAAATATAAAAGTAAGGTAAGATTTTTTGAGATTGTCATGACATAAAATTTATATAGATGTCACTGTAAAAAAAAATAAAAAATAAAAAATAAAATATTAGTCTTTGTTTATAATTTTTATAATTTTTTATTCTACTTATCTAATAAGATGCCAAGTTTTACTATTAAATTTTTTAGAATTATCTTCTCTAATTTTGAAGTAGCATAACATATTCTCTAGAACATAATGCCTTTTGATTAAAAAAAAATGTTTCAAACCTCAAAACAACCTAAAATTTAATGGCAGAGAAAAAATTGACAAAGAGCAATCACCAATTGACCAATTGACAGAATTAAGATTCACCTTTTTTTATTCCACAAAATTCATCATTACGACAATATGTTGTTGACAAATAAAAGGATAAATATAATACGGTATAACAATATGATAGATGTAACATTATTGTTCTTAGTTTTGAAAATATGAAATAAAAGTTAAACAATAAAAAATCTTAAATCTAGTCATTCATTAATTTTAGAATATTTTGTATTAATTTATTTATATATTTTATTGTTCACTTTATTAATGTCAAAAAAAATAAAATAATAAATAAACTGTAGAGACTAAACAAAGCAATGCACAAAGGGGCAACAATAAAGGTAGACACATCTAGCATCTAGTATTAATAACGAAAGCAATAGTTCTGAAGACAAAGAAAAAAAAATAACTCATAACATTCTACAGGGAAAAAAAACCAACCAATCACAATCACAATGTTGAAGAAAATTATATGTTTTTTGTTGAGGCCTACCAATATTCAAAGAGCAAATATGTTGTATTCGTACAAACCTGAATAGTATGGTGCAAGCGATAGAGAGTCTTCGACGAAGGTAGATAGATGGTTAGTCGATGAGAACAAACTTTTTAGGGTTTTGAGAAATTGATAGTTGAGAGTTTGTTTGAGATTATAAAAATAAATTAGAGTAAAATAAATGATAAGATCTTAAATAGTGTAGTTTTGATTTTTAAGATTTTTTAAAAAAACAAAATTCCAAAACGAAACTGCTATAAGATTTCCAAAACGGAACTGTTGCGTACTGTATATTTATAAGGTATAAATAATATATGTTATAAGGTATAAATAATATATGTGTGCTTTATAATATTGAGGACACAAGGTGGCGCGGTGGTATAGAGCGTTGCAGTTGTGGGAGTGGTCAAGGGATCAAACCTCAGTACCGTTGGAATTGTTGGAAATTTTTGAAATAACCTTGGAGCCCAAAACGACGTCGTTTTGGGAGTGTAACAGGTGTTGCTGCGCGGCTGCATCCCCAAATCCAACTAATTAATTGTTGGTGCCCAAATTAAATAAAAGAAAATGCTATAGACTCCAAATAAATTATCAACTTTTTTACCAAACCTCTCACACAATCAATAAAATGACACATAACGGCACAAACGAATGTTAAAAGACACATGGAAAGGAATTAAGAAGACATTTCAGCATCCAAATCCATGTTCGAAGAGAAGCTATCAAATGCGGTTAAAGTTTCAAGCCAATTAAATTCAAATTCAACCAAAAGGAGGAATACATAACAAATGTGTGAAGCACTTTGTTGGCTCCAAGGTTGATGGAAGATCAGAGTTGCTGCGATGCTTCTAAATAGCAGTTTGAATGAAGAAGAAGTTGAATTCTGAAAATAAGGCTTCAAATCCTTTTGAGAGCCTAAAATTCATTTTAGATTATTCTTCTGAGATTAATCTTGCTTTCAGCATATCCATCATCAATCCTATGTCCCCTTTTACGCTAATTAAGTGAATTTGCCCCCCTGCAGTAAAATCTAATTCTGATGTCTGTAGCAAGAACCATGGATCAGGTGGTTTTGGAGGCCTCCTTCGGGATGAGAGGGGTGCTTGGATCTGTTACTATGGCATATTGGAAAGTTGTACCACTCTTGAGGCAGAGCGGTGGGCGGTGTAAAAAGGGCTTACCGTTATCATTCAAAAAGGTTTCAACGAAGTGATTGTGGAGACGGAAGCTGAAAAGGTCGTAAAGTTGCTTGAAGAGGGTCATTGAGAAAATCATCCTTTTAGAGGATTGGTAGAAAATGTGCGGATAATCTTTAATGGCTGCCAATGCACTCCTCAACATGTGCTTTGAGAAGGCAATCTTTGCGCGGATGCTCTAGCAAAATTTGAAGCTGAACAACCTAAAAATATCCTAGTTATCGATGACCCCCAACTGAAATTAGGGATTTGTTAGTTCTTGATATGCTGGGGTTGGGTAGGGAGAGGGCCTAGTCCCCGTTTATTTTGTTTTGTTTTGTTTTCTTTTCTTTTTTGTTTTTTATGTATTCAAAAAAATAAATAAATTGAAGAAGTTCCCAAAAAATTGTCAAACCAATAACTGTTATTTTCACATTTCAATTATAAGTAATATTAGAAATTTCAAAAGTTTTATTAAAATATTTACCAAATGTCTTACATGGGTGTGAGACCCATATCATGTGGGTCTCATACCCACGTGAGACATTTAGTAAAAATTTTGGTACAACTTTTGGGATCTCTAGTATTTTTATTGAGTGGTGCTACATGCACCAATTAGTGTACTAACTAGTGTACTAACACTAGTTATGACATTATTATTAACCCCGCTTATTATACAAATTATAAATACCAAAAATATTTTAAATTATGTCACATCATCAATTGGTACACTAGTTATTGCACTAATTGGTGCATATAGCAGTAGTCATTTTTATTCAATTCTAGGCCAATTTACATGCATCAGACTAAGTTCCTACAGCCCAAACAACTCTTTCAAAATAGGGATTACACCCTGCGATCCGTGGCCACAAGGTATGGATTTGATGGTTAGGGAATTCGAACCTGAGACCTGAGAGGAAGCAAACCTCCAAACCCAGTCGTTACCCATTAGGCCAACCATCCTATGATTATTGCTCTATAACCATAACTTAAATAGGAATAGATTCACATTTATATACCTTTCTTGTATTTTACATCAAAGGATAGAAGTAGTAAGGTAATGCACTAAACTTTTAATTCAACTTTCGTAATTGATAAATTTAGTAATCAATTGCAATCTTCTCAATTGTTTATTATATTGCATTAAATTTCTCCATCATTGATTCTTATTTAACATTTAGGTTTCGCTTGACATGCAACACTTTTATTCTAAAAGTCAAAAATTACTAAAAAAAACTAAAAAACCTATAACCTATAC